CTCATGTCTGGAGGATACATGATAGCACCTCCAGAGCTTGGGGGAGGGAAGAACTGCACCCTTGGGTCTAGAGGAGCCCATGGTGGAGGAGGATACCACGGCTCTGGATATCCTCCTCTACCAAAGCCATCCGTATTACACTGTAAGTGAGGTCTCCATCTCTTCTGATCTTTTTGGTTGCGTTCATGTGGATCTGGGTAAGGTCTGTAGGCTCTGCCGTGATCAGTTACGACAACAGGAATGACTGTATTGTTAGGTTGGTCGCTTCTGGGCTTGTTGGAAGGATGGAGGTCATGCTGTTTAACCGGTGTGGTGTCAGCACTGACGTCAACCTTATCAACTTCCTCAAGCTCTTTGTAAAATTCACAAAGCTCCTGCTCAATGAATGGCTCAGGCCGACACACAGGCCCAATAAATGAAGTACTAGTGATACCCAACTCTCCAATGACACGTTCTCTCTCTGTTTGGCTTGTGTTCTCAGTGGAACATCTGTTGGTAACCTCTGTCTGTATTTGTGTTGAAGGATCCAGTTCTCCACCATCTGGATTCACATTCTGTTGAGTATTGAAATGACTTCCATCAGGTAAAAAAGATAATTCAGTCCGATTGTTCGTCTGGTTATTGGATGATTTAGCCACTGTGACACCATCTGAGAGAGTTTGTGGTGGGGTTTCATATCGTTCCTCTACATTTCCACCATCAGGTGGAGAAGTAGACTCACTGGCATTGACATTTGGCATCTATAAAGAATAATAAAACCACACATTGACTTAAACCACAAAGTAAAGCAACATTATGTAAATTCGTTGATTCATTTTTGTACAAAGATGAATGGAATAGTCAGGCCAACCGTTTATTACGCATCACAAGTTAGTCATAAGACTGTACAGACGTTTATATCTGTCTGTTGACAACCATCATTAACTAGTTTACAAAATACAATTTAAAATGACGGAAGCAGTTTCGATACACAACGAGGTTCATGTTTCAATACCTATATATTTTACGCATGATATTTTATAAAATCTATCAAGTCACGGTGAAAAGCTTTACCTGACGAGTGAAAAACTTGTGAACACTATGTTCTGTTTAATCAAACGTTCATCATCGACATATCTGCTCATAACCTAGCGAGCCCAGGCGCCTAAACACACAACACCACAAAAGGGAAGTTAGAGAGTTCAAAATAAAAGTCTCCATAAGAAAAGTAAAATAAAATAAAATAAAATAAAATAAAATAAAATAAAATAAAATAAAATAAAATAAAATAAAATAAAATAAAATAAAATAAAATAAAATAAAATAAAATAAAATAAAATAAAATAAAATAAAATAAAATAAAATAAAATAAAATAAAATAAAATAAAACTTAATGTTTTTGAAAGAAGTACCTGATGCTTATCAAAACTGCATTTATTTAATCGCAAATACATTAAAAACACTAATACCGTGAATTATTGCTCATATTTAAATAATATTTTACATTTAGCTTTTTTCCCCATCCCTGTCATGGAAAAGCTGACTTTTTAGCATCCGTTAACCCAGTCTTCACTATCAAATTATCCTTCAGAAACCATTCTAATATGCTGATTTGCTGCTCTAAAACATTTCTTATCAACAATGTTAAAAACAGTTGTGCTGCTTAATATTTTTGTGGAAACCATGATTTAAAAAAATTCAGGATTCTTTGATGAATGTAAAGATCAAAGGAACCGCATTTATTTGTTACATTATAAATGCCTTTACTGTTGATCTAATCAATGGGTGCTTGCTGAATAAAAGTATTGTACGTGATATGAAATAATATTAATATAGCTTATGTTGTAATTTCCATTACTGTGCATGTTTCAGTGAATTGGTCAGATAATTTCAACAAAAATAGTACAATTACAAATTTCACTTAAACCAGAAGTGAAAACTCACTGTGCTTAACCACAGAATGTGTCAGTTACCACTTAGATCCTCTTCTGTGAAGAAACATGACGTTGAGCCCAGAGGTGGACAAAGTACTCCATTACTTGAGTGAAAGTACAGATACTGCTGGTCAAATATTACTTCATTACAGGTAAAAGTTGTAAAGATAGATTGTTACGTAAGTAAAAGTACAGAAGTACTTGCTTTTAAAAGTACATAAGTACCAAAAGTAAATTTCCCTTTTTTTTTTATTGTTGTACGTAATACTTGCAATACTTTTGAAGCAACATAGAATAAATTACACCTGCTGAATACACTGACTAGCTTGTAGTATCTTTGGAATAAAGAGCTTTTAGAATGTTAAAAAGCTATAGTGGACAGTGAAATCCTGTAGATACAGAGTGATAAGGAAGAAAAAAATCAAACCTGCTTTAAAACCCAGCAACACAACTGTAGCTGTATAACTTTACAACAGCAACACTGCTTTAACAAAAAAGCAAAACAGCAAGACTTATTTGCCATCAAACATTTTTTTTAAATGCTGTCTAATCGCTCTCGCGGTACACTCTAAAACCCAGCATTTTTTTAAATTGTACTTTGATGTGCTGCTTCAAGTCCAACACCTATTGTGTTTTATTAGGAGATGCACAACAGTTCTTCTGTGGCTTTATAGGTAATATTTTCACCTACACAATTTAGCAAAATCAGACAATATTGTGTCTAATATATACCACAATATTAACTTCTCATTATTGAATTGTTTTAAATAAATATCATTTTTTTTAAATGCTGTCTAATCGCTCTCGCGGTACACTCTACACTTTTAAAATTGTACTTTGATGTGCTGCTTCAAGTCCAACACCTATTGTGTTTTCTTAGGAGATGCACAACAGTTCTTCTGTGGCTTTATAGGTAATATTTTCACCTACACAATTTAGCAAAATCAGACAATATTGTGTCTAATATATACCACAATATTAACTTCTCATTATTGAATTGTTTTAAATAAATATCACATTTGCAATTGGTCAGTGTTAAAAAACTGCTGGGAAATCACTTCAAGTAGCCCTACAAGAGTGATTACTGATAAACTGTCTGAAAAAAAGAAAGTCAAAAGAAAAAAATCACCCACTGACTTTCAAAGCTGCTACATAGTAACAGTGTTGGGGAAAGTTACTTTTAAAAGTAATGCATTACAATATTGCATTACTCCCTAAAAAAGTAACTAATTACGTTACTTAGTTACTTTTTATGGAATGTAATGCGTTACATATGCATTACAATATTGCGTTACTCCCTAAAAAAGTAACTAATTACGTTACTTAGTTACTTTTTATGGAATGTAATGCGTTACATTACTTTTGCATTACTTTCGCGTTACTTTTTCACTAAATTCACGTCTGTACAGTAGAATGCAGGAGAAGAAACCCTTTTCAGCAATAAAAAACCAATGAAGCACAATTGTTAGTTTCTCTAAAGTCATTTTTGCTTATTAGTACGGTTGAACTGGATCATCAAAGGTCAGCAGCAAAGACATTGGTTAATAAAATGGGATTAGATACATTTGATGTTATTTAACATATTTAATTATTGCAGGTTTGCATCATATTCTGAGTTTGCATTTCACTGTTTTAATTCATTTTGATGAATAGCAAATCTGTTTTTTGTGAGTGGGATGAATTAATGCACATTCACATTTAGTCTAGAACTCCATCATGTTCACACAACGCCTCTGCACTTCCGATTTCTCCCAATATGGGGACAGGATACTTGTCAGTCAATAAATGGGAATACAAAGTAACTGGCGTTACTTTTTTGAAAAAGTAACTCAGATATTTTCTTGTAAATTAAAAAAGTAATGCATTACTTTACTAGTTACTTGAAAAAAGTAATCTGATTACGTAACTCGCATTACTTGTAATGAGTTACCCCCAACACTGCATAGTAACGACTTTTTACTTCGAGGACCTTGATAGAAATGAAGTGGAGTGAAAAGTACAATATTTGTCTTTCAAATGCAATAAAGTTAAAGTCATAAGTTCCCAGAAAAAATAATACTCAAGTACCAATACTCAAAAAGTGTACTTAAGTACAACACTCAAGTAAATGTACTTAGTTACTGTCCCCCTCTGTAAATAACTGCCAAAACCATATTTTGTATTGAAGGATGATTTAACATACATATAAAATACACATTGGGAATATGCATAAGGCGTTGGAATCTTCAGATCCTCTTGTAGCAGAGATTGCTGGTAAACCACTGAACCTAAACCAAAACTGCCTTTGAGTGAGTGCATTTCTGTCCTTTTCAAGCTGTTTGGGGGTAATTTCCATGTATACTGTGGTATTATTGCAAACACATAATAATGACAGATGATATAGTATCTTTTCATTCATTTTTCCATACCTTTTTTTATTTGTTACAAAGGCTTGTTTTATTATATTTTAATGAGTCAAACCGGTTTGCTAGCTGAAATATCCACCCTTTCACTAAATATTGAATATAGACTCGGAAATTTTAACTTCTTCTCAAATTCATCTTCATTTTTGATGACCCTCAAAATACTGTTTTCCTATAAAATCTCCATATTTGCTCTCTCTCACAACAGGATATGTTTGCAGGCACATATGCAAACATATGTGGGTTTTAACTGAAATCCACTATAAACACTGCAGGCAGCCAAACACCATGACTGGTGAGAGTAACTCAGAGCAGCTTTTGAGAATATTTTCTGTCATCTCACCACCAAAAAACAGGGTCAGATGCTAGGAAAATAAAATAAAAACAAAACATGTGTCCATAGTTTGACCCAGAACCATGAAGGAACTTATGGTGTTCATGTGTTAAGTAGCAACGGCAGAGACTTATTGTTTTTTTTTTTTACACTGATGATGAATTATGCACACTTTACATGTTTTTTTTATTTTGCTGATTGTAAGTACAGTCTGTTTATTTAGTTGCATACTCTATCTTATATTCAATTCCTCTGTACATTCATTTTAATATCTTTTACTTATCGTTTATTCACTGTATTTATTCATTAATTCATACTAACAAATCACCCAAAATATTCATAAGAACTTTTCTGTTTATTTATTTATTTTTTTAGACAGTGGTATTAAAGAGGTCATAACACAGTTAGACACTTTCTTCGATTCCCACTGGATGCATATACATAATCATAATCATACAGAAGTCAATTTTACCTAAATATCCCAGACATGATTCCCGAATCATGGTCTATAAATACTTTTTAAAATAATGGAGAATTTCTACTGATTTACCAGCTCAGTAGTTGAAAACTCATCAAAATGAATGCTAAATTTCACAGCAGTTGATAATGATTGACAGTTTATGGCCACATTATAAGCGCTCAACAGTTGAGTATGGAGTTGGCCCTCATGATGCGCATGACTTTCCGATAGCTGTAACTGTATTCAAACTGCAGGTGCTCATGATAGAAGTACAAATATCCTGTTAAAAAATAGAAAGAACAATTATTTTCATTCAAGCATTCATGCTTTGTTCAAATACATTAACTGACACAATAAGAAAGTTATGCAACATTATTAATTTACACATACCATAATGATATGCAACAGCATCCACTTCATCTCCTATTCCAGGAAAGTCTTGCTCTAAGGATCGTGGGTATCCACTGTCCATGGTGCCTTTCTCCTCATCATAACTGGAGGTGAGATGCAGCTCACATTAGCTTTTGGCATTTGCTTATAGGCTCAAAATACTCTATGGGAAGTTTGAGGGTTTTTTCCCCACAAGATTATAACATACCTCCAGTATTCTTCATCTACGAAAAGTAGAGTCTTGCCCGTGTCTCGGATGTTAACTGCTGCATCTATTTTGCGGACAGTCTTCGGGAGGCCCAGCTTGTGGATGTATTTTGGATAGCCGTCAACCAGATTGTAGCCATTGAGAGCCCACATTCGGATACCTGTAAATGTTTTTCCGTTATAAAAATATTCAAGATAATTTAACTCAAAACTGTAACTGTAGGTGGTGTACTGTTATTTTTAAGTAAAACTAAAATAACAAACATTTCGTTTAGTGAAATAAAGATGAGATAAAATAAATATAAATAGCAGATTAACAACAAACATCAAACATTACAGTATTTATTAATATTTTAAATTAGCCTTTCATTTTATATTTTGTTCTAAATTTATTTTTAGTTAAAGTTTTAGTAATTTTGTTGGGGGTTTTTTTGAAAGTGAGAAATGTTACCTTGGCAACTAACTGAGAAAAAAAAATAAGTTGAAGTTGAAGTCAGGGTTTTATCATTAACTAAAACTAAAACAATAGAAAATGTCATTACTTGAAATAAAATGAACTTTATAAATAAAAATTAAATGTTTCTAAGGCAACACTTCTCATTTTAAGTATTAAAAACTAAAACTAAATAAACAAAATACATAAAAAGAACATATGACAAAAACACACAACATAATTATTAACTAATTATTTAACTAAAATTAAACTGAAAACAGAAAATATGAAAATAAAAGCTAATTTAAAATATGAATAAGTACTATATTAGTATAAAACAATATATACACACACACACACACACACACACACACACACACATATATATATATACAAACAAAGATAAAATAACATGACTAATAATTTGATTTGAATGTCAAAACTAACCACTGAAGATGATGACAATATCTTTCTCTGGGTTCTCGTAGGCAGCATCTACCTGGTTTGGTAATTCAGGCCAGGTACTTTTAATGAGAGTTTGTTCAGGCTCAGGCATTTGTGTATGTAGTCGCCAGTAAAACCTGCCAACAACAAAAAAAAGGAACGATATATATAGGATATAATACATTATACAACAGTTAAAAAATGTGGTAGTGCAGCCAAGACTAGGTTTATCACAATAATGAACAGTGAACTATTTTTACACCTGTCTTTGAAAATGATTGTCTCTCCACGGAGTTCAGTGATGGCATCAAAACTCAGTTCAGGGTCACACTTGCTTGGAGCGTCTGGTTTAGGCTTGATTTTTCTGTGGTCTGGGTTTTCACCTGCAATTAACCCAAAAGCAAAGGCTGAATCAGGACTATGAAGCTTTCTGGAATGATCTTTTGATCAAAATGAGATATTACTCACCATAGAGCGACTGGATTCCCTTAATGTCATCCTCAGACAGAGGGTAACCCTTGTCGTAGGAGTACACCGGGTACATCAGTGACCCTGGATCAGAGGAATGGGCCATACCGAGAGCATGACCGAACTCATGGGCCGCAACCAAGAACAGATTGAATGCTGCAAAAAAACATAGTAAAGATTACTATGATTTGAAATCAAACCTTTTATATACACTACCTTTTTTTTGTTTGTTTTGAAAGAAGTGAATACTTATAATCAGCAAGGACACATTACATTGATAAAAAATGACAGTAAAGATATTTATAATTTTACAAAAGATTTTCAAATAAATGCCTTTCTTGCTTCACCACCAAATCAGCACATTAGAATGATTTCTGAAGGAGCAGCTTTGCATCACAGGAATCAATTATATTTCAAAATGTATTAAAATAGGAAACAGCTATTTTATATTGCAATAATACTTAACAATATTGCTGTTTTTAATGTATTTTTGATCTAATAAATACAGCCTTTGTGAACAAAAGAGACTTCTTTCAAAAATATAACAAATTCTTAATTTTTTTTTACTGTGAAAGTCTTTGGTCCATGTTTCATCCTCATCAAAGTGTGTATCACCACCAATGCCGTTTCCAGGTGGATAAGCATGAGCAAGAAGTCCCTCAGGTCCATCAAACGGGTTGAAGTCTCCATGTTCTGGCATTTGCATACAAAAAAAAAGGATGGTGATTGACAGAAAGAGAACCAGAAAAAATATCCTGCATTTTATTCCCACTTCAATGAAAAATAAAAACACTGGTACCTTTTGCTCCAAAGCTGATCATGATATCAGCATTCCCCTCATACAGTTTCTTAAACCTCAGTGGAGTCACCTTGCTCCAGACATTAAAAGCATTTCGAATGGCTTTGTCCACATCCGCATTCTTCATGTCAGGAGTGTAGTTCAGAATCCTGTGAATAAAAGACGTATTTTGAAAACAAAACTGCCTCTTTTTACCGTATTGAATTCTTTAATGTACAAACACAAACCTGAAGGTCATCCTCATCAAAGTGTGTATCACCACCAATGCCGTTTCCAGGTGGATAAGCATGAGCAAGAAGTCCCTCAGGTCCATCAAACGGGTTGAAGTCTCCATGTTCTGGCATTTGCATACAAAAAAAAGGATGGTGATTGACAGAAAGAGAACCAGAAAAAATATCCTGCATTTTATTCCCACTTCAATGAAAAATAAAAACACTGGTACCTTTTGCTCCAAAGCTGATCATGATATCAGCATTCCCCTCATACAGTTTCTTAAACCTCAGTGGAGTCACCTTGCTCCAGACATTAAAAGCATTTCGAATGGCTTTGTCCACATCGGATGGTGATTGACAGAAAGAGAACCAGAAAAAATATCCTGCATTTTATTCCCACTTCAATGAAAAATAAAAACGCTGGTACCTTTTGCTCCAAAGCTGATCATGATATCAGCATTCCCCTCATACAGTTTCTTAAACCTCAGTGGAGTCACCTTGCTCCAGACATTAAAAGCATTTCGAATGGCTTTGTCCACATCCGCATTCTTCATGTCAGGAGTGTAGTTCAGAATCCTGTGAATAAAAGACGTATTTTGAAAACAAAACTGCCTCTTTTTACCGTATTGAATTCTTTAATGTACAAACACAAACCTGAAGGTCACATTATCAAACACTCTCTGCATGTTTTGCACAGCGGTTAGGGGCTTTTTTGCAGCTTTGCAGCGTCATCACATGAAAAACACAGGCGATCTGTCGGTTTTTCTGTGGTGCAGCCTGGACCCAGTTAAAAGGCGCAAGGAAAAGACACTGTACATGAAAGACTTAATATTCAATTCATAATTTTTTTCCATATTTTGTTTGTCTGTAAATGTATTTATACATTAACTTGTATTAAGAAAACAAAATAGCATTAAGATGTATAATTAGGTCCAAAGAGCAAAATATCTTCAGGGCTACAAGTGATGGCATGTCCTGTTAATGGCAGCTGTCACCCATATACAGTAATGCAGTAATAGAGTGACAGAATTCTTCAAATGTGACTTTGCTACTCCACACCTCTGTAAAGTATACATTATTAAACAGACAGTGTCTAGCGTTCTAATAACACCACAGGTTTATTTACAGGTTTGTAAATAAAACCACTGCTCAAAAGCACTTCAGACATAATGCTTCACAACAGCTTCAAAATACATAATACGCTGTTTTTAAAGTAGTTGTCACAATTATATGTGATCAGGCAGGTATGTAAAAAATGAGCACTGTGGGCATTATATCTCAAATTTTTTTCTGCCAGCTACACAACAAAATAAAATCTTGAGCAAACCGTGGGAATGTGAATGTGAATTTAATTTCAGTCAAATATTTTGACTAGAATGGTTTTAGCAAGTTTTTTTTAGCAAAAAGTTTTTTTTTTTAATTGAAATATCAGTTTCAAAACCATTTTCATGGTTCAATGACTTCTAATAAAGTGAATGGCTTCTGTATCTCTCCCCAACAAATGTCTGAGCTGGGAGTATGTAAGTTTGGTGAGTGGGTACGAAATTCCATGAAAGGGACTCTGAAGTCACAAAACTACATTTGGTTTAAACGGACTGAATTGAAAAGTGTTGTTTCTGATCCGTATTGTTTCTGATTTTCTTTACAATGAGCCATTTAAAATGAGCCTTTTAAAAGATCATGCTGTCTCAAATAATGTGCATAGGAATGAATGAAACGAACATTAGAAGGAATATTAGACTTTGACATGTTTAAAAATACAACTACTATAAAAAACAAGTAATGTAAATGCAAGTAAATACTGACCAAATAAATCCTTAAATGTATGTGATGATAGTCTGTAAAAAGTAAAAATGTGGAGCTGTTATGCTGTTATCTTAAGCAACATTTACCACTAAATATTTTTTTATTAAATATGTGTGTGTGTGTGTGTGTGTGTGTGTGTTAAAATAAAAATACATATATTTTATTGGTGTAAGCTATTCACATTATATTAATAACACATCATAAAATCATATATTAATGTAAGGTTATTTCAGTGTAGACCACAAATATTCTATTTTCTCATTCTATTTGCTCATCTGTTTTACAAAGAAGCAAGCAGAGTCATGTACAATAAAGAGACTGAAGAAAAAACATTGTTGCATCAGAGGATGATAGATGTAATACAAGTCTATCATAACCTGAGGCCAAAATCTACAGGTTCTGTTTCAACAAAGGAGATCCAATGAACTCCTACATGTTCTCAGCTATATGATGGGCATCAGTCAAATCCAGGAGCTGAGATCAGATACAAAAAAAGTTAAACCCTCACATCCTGCCTTGAGGTCTATATTTATCTATATTTATATTTATCCAGATATGTTTATCTTGTCTATATTAACGTTGCATTGTGATGCTCTCTATCTCTAAAAACTGTGGATGTAAATGACATGATATCTATGATGCAATACAATACACATTTTTCAAACAAAATTAACAATGATGGCATCCTACATCTTAGAATTGCTGAAAAGGAGTGAGAGCTAGAACTGTAAATATGTGCAAATATGCTGAATGAGTGTGAATCATGTCAAAATGAGACCATGGGGAACTTCCCAGGTGGAAAATGTGGATCATGTCAGACATCTGCAGGGGGTGATGTATGAGGAAAGGGATGTTAGGAGCAGCTGCCGATAAAAGAACCACCCATGATCAGAATGTTATTTGCTGGAAATGATTAAAGGATTAGTTCACTTCCAGAATACAAATTTCCTGATAATTTCCTCACCCCCATGTAATCCAAGATGTTCATGTCTTTCTTTCTTCAGTCGCAAAGACATTAAGGTTTTTGAGGAAAACATTCCAGGATTTTTCTCCATATAATGGACTTCAATGGTGGCCAACAGGTTGAAGGTCCAAACTGCAGTTTCAATGCAGCTTCAAAGGGCTCTACACGATCCCAGCCGATGAATAAGGGCCTTATGTAGTGAAACAAACGGTCATTTTCTTTAAAAAAATAATAAAGATGTATACTTTATAATACTTAATTTTTATAATGAATTTATACTTTTTAACTACAAATGCTTGTCTTGCACTAGCTCGACTTCATGCATCACATAGTCACATTGGAAAGATCACAAGTGACATTAAGGCGGAAGTACCCACCCAGTGTTTACAAAACGAACGTGCAAAGAAAGTAAAATGCCAAATTTACAAAAAAAGGTAAAACAACGATGTCGGACGATTTTGAAGTTGGAGGATAAAATAAGATGGAGTTTTTCACCCTATACTCTAACCACGCGTGACCTTTCCAATGTGATTGCGTAATGTGTGAATTTGTGGACGCGCATTGCAGAGCTAGTGCAAGATGAGGATTTGTGGTTAAAAAGTATATACATTTTAATTTTTTTAGAAATTTACCAATCGTGTCGCTAGATAAGACCCTTATTCGTGGGCTGGGATCGTGTAGAGCCCTTTGAAGCTGCATTGAAACTGCAATTTGTACGTTCAAACCATTGGTCACTATCGAAGTTCATTATATGGAGAAAAATCCTGGAATGTTTTCCTCAAAAAACGTAATGTCTTTGCGACTGAAGACAGAAAGACATGAACATCTTGGATGACATGGAGATGAGTAAATTAACAGGAAATTTTTATTCTGGAAGTGAACTAATCCTTTAAATTGCTGACCCTATGACAACAATTGTCTAGATTAAAAAAGATACATTTGGTAAAGTAAGGGAAATTATTACCTGACTGAGGAGTCACAGATGTAGACCGAATTCAATCAAGGTAGTAACCATGCCTTGAACATTGGGGAACATTGTTTAATAAAGTATGTGTGCATATTGTAAAATATTGTTTGCAAATGGTTCAAAATGATTATTTCCCATCTAGAATTTCCTTCACCGTTCCATTTGTCTACGCCTAATATGTCGAAATGCAAAACATTTCTTGTCTGGTCACATTCTGTTAGAAATTATGAATAAATTATACCATATTTTCGATTCAAAATGGCGAAAGTCGAATAGTTTGCATCAATGGATATTACTGATTGTCGTTTAGCACTTATATCGTAAAATAGTTGTCAAATATAAATGCTTCTCTACTTAAATCTTACCTCGCTCTCTTTTCAAGTTTTTCTTTCTCTTTGGAGTGTTACAAGCTGATTGTGCATAGATAAGATCCCTGAAGTTGCAAAGACTAAAGTCTCAAAACCAAAGAGATATTCTTTATCAAAGTTAAGACTCTGCCACACCCCCCTAAAACGGCTCGTTCTAACACGCCCCCACATATCTACCTCACTATGTGGAAATATTAGCATAATGCGCCCAAATGTGCATGCAAAGAAAGAAGGCGTGGTTTCAGTAACCGCAGTTAGTGTTGAAGCAGCATATCAGGGAGACGCTGTGTGTTTCTATGCGAAAGCAAAAGCACTTTATTTGGCCTTCCGAAAGTAGATGCATTTAGGAATCTTTAAGATGACTTACAACAGAACAGCAATGCAATTTATAGACAACCGTTTCGTGAACCTAGGAGAGGAAGTAATTCTGACTTTGCTATGACAATCCGGCGCTTCTGAATCAGCTACTGTTTTGTTACTAGTTTAAGTATTTGCTATTGACTGTTCAAATGCGGAGTTTTGCGCATCGTGTGTGT